TAGGCTTTCCGGATAGAGCTCTGAAACGGAGCTGCTGCACAGGCACCAGGCAAACTGGAAATCCAGTCTAGACGACGCGTTTCGGTCCAATACAAAATAAAGGAGGAGTCAGCATCTACGGAGTTGAGAAGGGGGAGAGGGAAGAAAGGGAACAGAAGATACATGCAAGCCAGTACAGAGTGCTAACGTCTTCCTAAGGGCAGAGAATAACGCCCAACCTCTAACGTTTCCGACACAGGGCACATGCATAATAGATATGGCATCAGTACGAGCATTCTCATTTCAGTCTGCCCGTTATGAAATGTATTTACGAGCAGGCAATGTTTGCCCGTGCCAGCTCAGTCCTCCCTGACAGGACTTCTGTTTTTTCAGGGAAGCGCTCATTATGCCACCGCTTCACCAGGCGTAGTTCTTGCCGGCCATCAGTCGCTAATGCCATCAGTGCAGATTTAACTGGAAACAGCCACCCACAAAGCAAAAACCGGCAGAAATCTCACCTCCGCTGTAAAATGCCATTACTAGATCAGCCGTGTCCGTAGAACCCTTTGCTAACATGGGTCACCTGTGCTTAAACTCTTCATTTCCTACTCTCCCTCCAATCTAGATCACACCTTAAAGAGGTCTCCTTTAAAAGCCAGGAGTTTCATTAGAAATGTTTTCCAGGTGAACTCCCCAAGGACGCGGAGAGAAGGTGCTGCTCTCTTGGCCACTGTTTAACCTTTTCTAGCAGCAAGGAGCTAAAACCCAGTACAGATCACAAGAACAGAATGCATTCATGTCTCTCTTCTGTGCTCCATACACGTCCAACTAGCCTACACAGAAAGTAACTCCCATGGTTCCAATTTGTTTCTCTACTGTAGCTGCCACAAGGTGGAGATATGAAGGTATGACAACAGGGTTCGTTAATAAAGCAGTCTAATAACGATGCTGCCGTACACTGGATTTTATATCTGCTTTATTACCACTAGAGGGAGGCGATAGCTCATCGGACAACGGGACAGCCTCTCACTCAGCAGAAAAGCAAAATTCTCCCAATGCAATTCACAGTAAAACCGCCTTCATCAGGGACCTGAAGTCCTCCCTTCCCGGTACGAGGCTCACCTGGAGCAGGGCAATTAAATGCTAGCAGCTAATCCACATTGCTACCAAGTCCTTTGAAAAAGCACTGGTGACTGCAAAGTTGAGAAAGTTTTACAGGCTGCATTTAGCACAGAACGGACGGTTCGTTGTTGGTTCAAGCTTATAAAGTTCACAGAGCCAAGCCATATACTCAACAAATTGTTTTACCTCTGTTCCGTGATGCCCATCAAAGGTCTGAGAGAAAACTGAGAAAAGCAAGCTCATTCACTGCAAAGAGTTTCAGGTGTCCACCAAGTGGAAAGGCTGGTAGCTGCTGTTGCAGAGAGCGCACGGAGCACGCACGGACGAGCTCACCCAGCTACTCACAACCGGGCGGTTAATTAACTCTCAAACAAATGCGTTTTAAATGAAATGCAAATCAAACTCCTAACGAAACGCCTATGGCAAACCCAGAGTTCAGATGCATTTCTTCCAGCTCACTAAAGACAACATACGGTTGCTTTAAGAGATATGAACTGTAACCTGAAACTGCCGAGCACCATAAAGGGCTACGTAGAAAGTTGTACTGCCCGGTTCATCCCGGTTACGCAACAGGCTGGCAGCTCCCCTTCCGCCAGAGCTGGGACGCTCCTGTGACCGCTCGGCGTGCAGTCCTGGTGCTCCCTTCCGTGCCCGTGACCCGACTTTAAAATCAGCTTTAGAGAAAAGTCTAGCAGATCAAGCCAAAGAGCTGAATATACTCCAAGAGGAAGACGGCAAGTACATGAATGCAGCTGGGCCTGACTTCCAAGGGCTCTAAACCACAGAAGAACTACTTTTGCTGAGTACGGATCCTCTGCCCCACGCTGGAAATGACAGAGCCCACCATCCTCTTCTTCCGTGCCTGCCTTGCGGCGCTTGCCATGCCCATCTACTTGCTATCGTTCCTGGGCATATGGGAACCTTTCTGTAAGAAGGTATTTTTTCCTTTCTTCTTAGAGAAGCTTTCTGCAGTTTACGAGAGGAAAACAAAGAAGCAGAAACAGGAGCTATTCCGTAATCTACCTGACTTCACCAGCCCCTCGGGAGAGCTGAAGCTGCTGGAGATCGGGACCGGCTGCGGTACTAACTTCCAGTTCTACCCACCAGGCTGCAAGGTCACATGCACGGACATAAACCCCAACTTCCAGCAAGGCCTTTCGAGAAGCATGAACAAGAACCAGCACATCCACTACGAGCATTTCCTAGTAGCTGCGGGGGAAGACCTGCACCAGGTGCCCAGCGGTTCTGTGGATGCAGTCATCTGCACCCTGGTCCTCTGCTCTGTGCAGAACGTGAACGGCACCCTGAAGGAGGTCCTGCGAGTGCTCAGACCAGTGAGTATCTGACTAAAAAGTGTTGTTATTACCCTTTATCGTCTGTTCCAAAGGCACTGCACCAAAAGGAAAAAAAAAACCAAAAGAAAAAAAGTTGGTTTTGAGCTTGCAAACCAGACCCAGTTTACTTCCCGAGTTAAATCAGATTTACAACCCGTGCTGCGAAATGGTGCAAAGCAGTCGCAACATACAGGTCAGTCTGTGCCATTCTTAAAAGTAAAACCCTGAAAGTAGCATAGTCTGGTATCTGGAACGGCCACTAATGTGGTGAGTAATTACGGTGTATCGTTTAAGGCAGAACTGGTTCCTGTGGTGGTGTCTCCCCACATACAACAGATTTGCTTTGGGTGGGAAGCTCTTTGATCAAGACTGAGAGCCTGCATTTTAAATAAACTGCTTTAGCCTCTTGGAAGCGGGGCTGATCAACCTGTATGACTAAACCAGCCTAATTAAGCATCTTCATTCCCTGTAGTATACTAATCAAGCGAAGACTAAAAAAAAGCTGGTTTGTTGGGGTATTTTTGCAACAGACTTTCAGCCTTTAAAACGGCATTTTCAAGACAATCCTCTGGGTTGTCAAAAAGTGATGAGTTTGAGTAGGATTTATACATTTCTCTTAGCTTCCTTCGAAAAAAAATGACATGCTAGCAGCTGTAATTGAAACAAAAGGACAACAAACTCTTGCTGTAATGAAAGAGGGATCAAGTAAGTACACCTTTCACGCCTTTTGAGTAGGCATTTTGAATCTCAGCAAGTTTCCTCCTTACATTAATCCCAACTGACACCCCAAAAGCAAGAAGCGGGCAGGGAAGGGGTGGGAGAATACTGATGAGCAGGCAAACTGCACACGCGCGGGTCTGTATTTGAGAGGCGGTGGGATGGAGGGAGAAGTTCGGCGTAACCCCAGCGCCTGCTGCGGCTCTGTAAAGGCGACTTTGTTTTTCCCAGGGAGGCGCTTTCTATTTCTTAGAGCACGTGGCTGCTGATCATTCCAGCTGGAAGTATTTTTGGCAGCAGATCTGCTATCCGACTTGGAAGCTCGTCTTTGCTGGGTGCTGCCTAACGAGAGAGATATGGAAGAATCTCGAAGAGGCCAACTTCTCGGAGCTGAAATTACAACACATCAGCGTAGCGCTGCCCTGGACGCCCATCCAGCCTCACGTCATCGGGTACGCCGTGAAGTAACTCACCCCCTGCCCGGCCGCCTTCCCCCGCCCCGAGAGAAATTCCTTGACATAATCAACACGGCATAGGCTAATCCAGACGTCCGAATCTAGGTAACAAGGTGAAGGACTTTAATTAAAGTTTCTGATTCAAGCATCAAATGAGAAGAGAGGGTCAATTAAGATCTTTGAAGCCCTCATGCTGCCGACCGTGCCTCACCAGGCCCCAGCGCAGCCCATGGAGGATCCCAGCAGGCTGCAGGAGAATGCGAAACAGCCCAGCAAGCAAGGGGGGGGAAAAAAAAAAGTATTAATTCAAGGGAACTTGTGCCTACGTCTGGTTAACTCTGGGAAGGGATTCCTTCAGCTGTTCCCCACAGCGGGAAGCAGCTGGGACTGGGCTCGACCCGCTCCCCT